ATTATTATTATTATTAAATAAAAATCCTCATTCTCGGAGTTTCATTTACGCTCCCCCCCCTCCCCTCCTCTCGTACATCCTCCCCAAAAAAAAATTACTCGCTTATTACGATCGGAAATTGAATCCAGTCAATTAATGATAACGCAACACAACTTTTATTCATTATTATTATTATTATTATTATTATTATTATTATTGTTATTATTATTATTATTAATATTAATATTATTCGGAAGTTAAAATTAATTACGTAATTATTTTAATAAACGGTAAAATAATAATAAATAATAAATAATAGTAAATTTTTCACCGAATTAAATTTTTACCAAACCGACCTTGACATATTGATGATGATGATAATAATAATAATTAACGTAATAGTTTTTTTATTAGGTCTTTATTGAAGTAACAGATAAATCATATCAGTTTTCTTCTTTTTCTGTTATTATCATTATTATTATTATTATTATTTTATTAAGTATCAAAATTTATATATGTGGATTAAAAAAAAAAAAAAGTTATTAATTAATTATTAAAGTTATTATTTAATTTTATTACCGATAATAATATTCGATTTTTATCGATAAATATTGATTTTTTTAGCGAGAGAAAAAATTATTGACGTTACGAGTAATTTATTACTGAAAAATCACACCAGGTATTATTATTATTATTATTATTATTATTATTATTATTATTATTATTATTATTATTATTATTAGAGTAATAAATTTTATTAATGAGTAAAAAAGAAAAAAGAATTTTTTTTTTTCACGGTTATTTTCATTTTACCTTTTTTTTTTTTAACCTTTTTTTCGTTACCTTTTATAAAAAGGTAATTTTTACTTAACAGGTAAAAATTTTCCAATTAATAATAATGATGATAATAATAATAATAATAATTTTGATTTTCCTTTTAAAGGGAAAAAAGAACAAAGGAAAAAAATATTCTGGAAATGATTAATTTAAAAAAATTTCCTTTTTTTTTTTTTTTTATTACTTACTTTATTTTTTTTGTGTGCGTGCCGAAGCAGAAGCGACGATATCAGAGGGTAGAAGGTAATAAAAATTACTACGAAATTTCCTTATTACGGTACTAATAATAATAATAATAATGATAATAATAATAATAAATCACTTAAAAATTTAAAAAAATATTTTTTCATTTCGAATTATCGAAAAAACAAATTAATTAAAATTTTTTTTTAAAGTTGAATAATAAAAATAATAATCGCGTAATTATTACGGTGAAAGAAATTTATTATTAATTTATTACTTATTATTATTATTAATAAAATTATAAAAACGCGACGAATAAATAAGTAAATAAATAAATAATTTTCTTGGTTAAAGTTTTTTTAGTTTAAAATTTTCACTTTTAATTTTTTTTTAAATAATTAAATAAATTATTTAAATAGTATTATTAGTTAATAAATAATTGAACAAACAAATAAACTAACAAACAAACAAACAAACTAATAAGTAATTTATTTATTTTTTTTTCCGATATAAAAAAATTTTTTTTTTTTTTTTTTTATCAGCGTCAATTACAGTACACGACGATGTTCATCTTCAAACTAATGGCTTTTATAACAAAACAAGGAAGCCATGGTTTCGACTTCAGAGCTTTTGCCAAACCTTACCTATAATATTTTTTTTTTTTCCCTCGTTTTTCGAAAAAGTTTTTTTTTTTTTTTTTTTTTTTTCACGTCACAGAATATATATATATATATAGTTTAATTTAAAATGAGTTTTTTTTTATTTTTTTTTTTTTTGAAAAGACGGTTTTTTTTTTATTGAGTTAAAAATAACTTTTTGGAAAAAGGTGAGGACTTAATAACTACTACTAATTTTTTTTTCATAAGTTATAAATACATTTTTTTTTAAATTTAACATTAAATTTTGTTTTAGGTAAGTGAAACGTTTTTTGATTTTTTTTCTTTTTGTTTATCAAATTTAATTTAAGATTTTATATTTGTAAAAAGAAAAAAAAAATTTTATGATTTTGTTGTAGTGAAAAAAAAAAAAAAATTTCTTTTCAGTTTTTTTTTTTTTTAAAATGTTTTGTTGTTCAGTTTTATTAAATTATAAAGTTTACCAAGATTAAAATAATTGATTTCTTATCAACCTGTCAATTTTGTTTTTCTTTTTTTTTAATTATTATCAATTGATTAATTATTTAATAACTTTATGTTTTAGTTTTATTGTTCAACCCAAATAAAAAAATTTTTTTTTTTTTTTTTTTGAGTAAAATTATAATTTATTAGTAAAGGCTTATTTAAAGAAAATTGTTTTTATTCTAACATATTAAATAAATTTTTTTCAATGGTTATTTTTCTTTATTTTTTTTAATTTTTGCAAAAAACTTTTTTTTTTTTTGGGGGGGATATTAGTTTAACGTGTGAATGATTTTACTCAACCGTTTTTTGAATCTTTTATGACTGTAACGACATCTAGTGTTTGTAAATAAAACTAATTAATCAACGTTAATAAATTATTGGAAAATGTAATGGCTGATTTATCATAGATCTTACTTACAAAAATTTCTTTTTTTTTCCTCGATAACATAATTGCCATCGATGAATTTTAATACGTGTGATTTAAAATCGATTTAAAAATGTTGTTTGTTAAATTTTTTTTATTAGGAGCTGGGTTGTTAGGTTGTTACGGTTTGGGGGTAAGTACTAACCTAAGTTGGTTAAAAAAATATTCGGTTTTTTATCCGATTAATGAATATATAGAATTTTTAAGTTATTAATACAAGTTAATTTAATGTTTTAGAGCGATTTGGAATACGATGGTAAAGTAAATATACAGTTGGAACACTCCTTGGATAATTTTGAACCGCCTTCGTATTTTCATAGGGGGGATATATTAATTAAAAGTCTTCATTCCGGAGCGTATTCAATCGACGAAGGCAGTGTAAATCATGAGAATTACGTAAAGTTAAAAAATTTGGCGCGGGATAATGGTAATTATAAAATGAAGGCTACAATTAAAACATCTGATGGAAAAGCAAATTATTTTAATACATTTGTAAAAGCGGTAAGAAATGATTTCATTTTTTTTTTTTTATTAAACGTGTTACCCTTAAATTTAGGCGAAATATTCTTTTTTTTTTTTAGTGTTCACTATTAGAAAGTCATCTTACAAATGTAATCTCTGTAAATTTAGATGATAGTGGAAATGTAATTGCTGTAACAATGGCAGTTCCTAAAATTTGTACCGGTACTGATGTCGAATACAATTCGAACATTAAATTTAATACAACTGTCGAAGTTAAACACATGGAACTCGGTCCTGTTCCAGACACAGCTATTTATATACAGAAATTGGAGAGAGACAGAGAAGCCAAAGAAAGAGGAGAAGTTAAAGATAATAGATCATTCTTAGCCAAATATGTAAGACATCAACTAATGATCATAAAATGATCATTTAAAAAAATATTACCTACTACACACAAATAATAATAATAATAATTTTTTTAATTTTAGTGGATGTATATTGTTCCTGTTGTTATATTTATGTTACTTCAAAGTGCTACCAATTTAGAATCTGGTGGTGGAAGTGGTGGCGGTGGTGGAGGTAGCGGTGGAGGAAACGGCGGAGGTGGAGGCGGTGCAGTATCTCAAAGATGATGTTGAAATATCTCGAAATGAAATCAACTTGGACATTTATATAATTATCCACATTTTATGAATAAGTTATAATTTATTTAAAATAAAAAATACTTTTCCATGCAATATTTTATAAAATAATTAAATAAACATGTACAGTAAAAATTTAAATTTAAAATTAAAAAAGGGAAATGTAATAGTGAGGTAAAATTAAATAATGAAGGATTTTTGTTTTTTGTTTTCTATTTTTATGTTATTTAAAAAGCATGTTGCTTATATAAAAACAAAATAAAAAAAGTAATAATCAAATAATATTATATTATATTAAAATTAATTTTATATTGTTATAATTTATTATATTTATAAATAATGTGTCACTGGTTATAAAATGAGGTCTATCTACCTCGAAAGAATCGTGAATGCAAATGCGCATGGGCAACACAAATAAGTAATCGATGCAGAAATTCGTGAATATGTATATAAAAAATAATTGTTTTGTTAGTAACAACGTGAACTTATAAAAAACCAGTACGATGGACACGTTTCTAAATCTAAATAAAATAAATAATAATAATAAAATCGTGAAATGGTGTTAGTTATAAGGTATAGAACATGGACTTTTGCCCTGTGTTCTATATATATATTTCATAATACAATATTTGTTAATAGTTTTGATAATAAGGATAATAATAATAATAATAAAGGTTAGTTTAAACCTTTTTTTTTTTTTATTTAATCATTTTAATGTTTATCTTACACAAAAAAAACTTGTTTGTATTTTTTTTTTTTTGTTTATTAATTATTAATTTTAATTTTAAAATTTTTTAATTAAGTTTTTTTTTTAATTTAAAGTTTTAAAATTTATTTATTTAAATTTTTTTTATCATTGTTATCAAATTGAATTTGAAAAAAATTCACATTTAATTCAATAGGTTTTTAAATAAAAAAAAAAAAAAATTTAAAGTAACACCCTTTGTAACGATATCGCACAATGAATCACATAATAATAATAATAATAATAAACGGATTTTTTATAATTTTATTATTATTATTATTATTATTATTATTATTATTATTATTATTATTATTATTATGAATTCGTTTGCAAAATAAATAAATGGAAAAAAAATTCGTTTGTTGAATTTGCCATTGTGTCATGCACGAGTGATTCTACGGTCATTTTATATACTAATTTAAAATTTTAGGAAGTTATTCGTTTTGTTGTTTTTTTGAACAATAATAAAACGATAGAATATTTTTTTTTATTATTAAAATTGAATGAGTAGTAAAAAAAAAATTTTAATTTAAACGTAAAAATATGAAAAACTTCCCCCCCTCCCCCCGAATAAAAAAAAAAAAAATAATTACGTACCATTCCGTACTGGTTTATTTGTTTTTTTTTTTTTTGAAATGCGTGGTAAAGTTTTGGGTAAACTTTGTATTTTTTTCTATAGGCTGACAAATAATAATAATAATAATTAATTAAGTTGACGAGGGAAAATTTATATAATTAACGGTTTTTTGTATTTATTTTTCAGGTTCGTTAAACGATAGCATCGGGAAAATATATCAGAAAAGTTATAATTTCGAAGATTTTTTTTGGACTGGTTCCGGTGACGGACCTGTTGGCGAATTTAACAACATAACAAATTCTCAAACGATTTTTATACATCCTAGTTCACTGGAAACATGGAAAACGACAACGGTTTTTCACACGACCACCATTTTATTTGCAACGGTTTATCCAGATGCACGAGGTTGTTTCGAACACGAATGCGTTCCAGAGGTGTGTGTTGAAAAACATCAACAATAATTTTTTTTTCAGGTTTAAATTTAATACATTATTTGTTCGTTTGTTTAAAGATTTCACCCGTGCAAACCGGATCTGTAGATTTTTCTTTACCCACTTACGTACCTCCGAACGCATCGGAAATCAGGCCAAGCAATACCGTAACAAACGTTCATACGACGACGCTGTCATGGCCTCATATATTCGTTAAAAAAAATAATAAAACAGATTTCGAAGAAACCGTTAGTCCAACGCCAAAACTTTCGACGAGTAAAATTCATTTTGATGATGGTGGTGATGGTGATGGACACGAAGGAAATGGTATTGGAGAAAATAATTTTCCACAAACTACAGTCTTCCCAGATATTATTTTACCAGATGAAAAATACTGGTTGTTAACAATATTAAAAGATGATAAACATTTGCCAAAAATAAATTTAAAATTGACTGAAAAAAAACTTTCTAATCTATATGAAAAAGCATTTTACAGGTGAAACATTAATAATAATAATAATGATTTTTTTCTCGGATTTAAATTAAATTTTTACTAAGGTTTGTACATTTTCAGGGGTCACAACAAATTTTTAACCGAAAATGATTTAGTGGATGAGAAAGATTCGAAATTTTTGAAATTTGTCAATATTCATATTTTTAACACGAGTCAAATCGGTAACGATTTAGGAATTATTTACACGGTTTCCATCAATGGTAATCCCGTACCTGCAAACACTGCAGCCAATGACATGAGGTTGCTGACAACTCGGGAAATAATTGCCGAACTGGGTCGTCCAATTCTTACAAAAGCTGAACGTAATTAAATTTAGTGATAACTGTTGGAGTGATCAGGATTGGGTAGTGGGTCACATAAAATTATTATTATTTTTAGCTTATGTGAAAACGATCGTGCCTTTCGGAGCAAGAGTTCGAGGGAAAACAAGAGATACGTGGCTTTTAATTGGAAGTGTTATAGCTGCGATATTACTTTTGTTACTTTTGGTTGCATTGTTTGTATTGATTCTATCGAAAAGTCAAAGTAGAAAAAATTCCGCCAAAACATCGGCGGAAATAGAAGAAGAAAGAGGAAATAGTAATTTGGGTTACGATGACGGCGACGACGGCGACGACAAAAACGATGTTTTGAATGTAAAATTTTATTTTTTAAGTTCAAAGTTTATTGTGTTGCGTTTATACAATTTAAAGAACAAAAATGATTCTTCCAGGTTGGCACGTCAGTTAGAGAAGGACAAAAAATTATTCAAACGAAAAAATGGACGGAATTAAAAATTAAAAGCGAATGTTTGGAAGATAAAAAGGATGAATTGAAAAATGACGAAAAACAAATAAATTCAAGTTCTAGCAGCAGTTGCAGTGGCTCTTCCGAAGCCAGTTTGGTACGAATTAGAAATCAAAAAATGAAAAAAGATGCGGAAGATAAACCGAAACCAAAACCGAGAGCAAGAGATAGAAAAATTCTAAGTTCAGATTGCAGAAACGTGAGTTGAAAGTGACGCCATTTTGAAAAATTTTTAAATTATTAAAAAAAATCGTTAAAAATTTCCCGTTTAACGGTTTTCGATGCGAAATTATCACCGTCGTACTTTTAATTTTAATAATTTTGATAAGTTTTAAAAATGTTTTAAAAGGAAAATATAAAAAAAAAAGAAAATTTTTTTTTAAAGATTTCTAATCGAAGAGCTCATGTATTCAGTGCCGGAAGCGCAATAAGTCAAAACACATTTGATGGCAGCATCATTGAAGAATGTTGTTCTTCACATTTAATAAAAAGTCCGACATCTTATTTATCCATGCCCTCCGTGAAAGCATTTCCAAAGTACGTTCAAACAAAAATTTAACGAACAATCACAATAATAATAATAATAATAAATTTTGCTCGTTGGTTTTTAGAGCGACAAAAATTCCAGAACCGTTGAATAAAATTCTCGAGCCGACTGTAATACGTCATTTGGATGCGGATTCAGATTCTCCAAGAGAATATTCCAACGTTCAAAATCGTCATCAGGTCGAAGTTGATATAGAACAAGTTTGCGAAGTGAAAAACAAATATGTCAGAGGTAAAACAACAATGACGAGACACGCGAGTTTGGAAGGGGATGATCCGGGATTCATTGGTCCGGTTGTTTGGAATCGTCACTGTCAAAAAATAATGACCAAAGAAAATGGTGAGTGAATGAATGAATGAATGAATGAATTTCAATTCAAATTTAAAATGTGATTCGAATAACGAAAAATATTACGTACTTTTCAGTTACTAATTTAAACGAGGAAGAAATTGAATACGAAAATGTAAACGTGGGAAAAATGCGTAGAAGGTTTAACGAACTTTTAGACGATGCGTTGAGCATGTTCGGAAGTAAAAATGGAAGTCCCGAAGGAAGTGACGTCGAACCAGTGCGACAATTAGATAATCGAATACATTCAGCGGTCATACGGTAAACATTATTCGTGATAACATTTTAAATTTTCATTTAACTCATGAAACTCATTTTTACATAATGATTTTTATTTAAAGTCCCGCGGGCGTCACAAAAATTGAGGGATCAACATCTTGCAGGCCTAACACGACAGGATCGAAAAGACCGCAATCGTCATTGGTGACTCAGGGTCGTCTTAAAGGTGCTTGGGAAACTCCAAGTTGTTCGACACTTTCCAGACCTTTAAGTGCTGGAATTTTTCAAGAAACATCTCCGAGGATCGATAAACGTTTCATATATGCCAACAGCGAATTGTCACCCAACGATCCAGCCATTCCCCTAATAGCTGCCATCAAAAACGAATTGAAAAAATTTGATGGCACAACACCATCTAATAACGAAACAAACTGAATGAATTAAAATATGTATACAATTTTATAGTGTTCAGAATATTTAGTGTGTATCTCTCTTTTTTTTTTTTTAATATACAAATTTTTAATTTATTTTTAATATAAACTTTTAATATTTTAAAACAACAACAACAACAACAAACTTTAAATTTGTTTGTTTAACATATTAAAATAAATTTTTTTTTTTAATAATTAATTCGATAGAAATCAATCAATCAATTTATTCGATTTGATTTTCTTCAAGAAATTTTATTATTAAATTTAAAATTTTGTTTTTTTTTATTCATTTGCAGAAAAATTTTAAAATTTTGTGTTTGTAAACATGGCGGCAACGACTTTTTAAATCCGGTGGTAGCAAAAAAAAAAAATTGGAAAAAAAAGTATTCTCGAATAAACTATGAACCTTTTTTTGTTTTTCCAAAGTGTTTTAATAAAAATAAAAAGAGAGAGAGAGAGAGAGAGAGAAAAGAAAAAAAAAACAACAATCGAAAACAAAAGATAGCACAAAAATTTTATTGTTATTTGTGAGTAAATGAAGTTATTATTACAATTATAGTTTATTTAATTTTATGATTGGATTTTTCTCTTGGATTGTTTAAAAGAGTCTATATATATATATACATATATACATATTATAATATTTATTTTAAAAAAAAAAAAAAGTATTAAAAAAAAAAAGGTATAAAAAAAAATAAAAATTTTTATTTTTATTTTTTTTTTTTTTTTGTGTTAAGAGGGATGATTTGATTGGGGGAATCTCTTCTACTGGAATAAATATATATATGTATATGTATTAATAACGACAGTATACAGAGCAGAATACAGGTAAGATTTATATATATATATTATATATATTATAATATTAGTTATTAGTTAGTGTTTAAACTCTATTATAGAAAAATTAAGTTTTTTTTATAATCGATAATATTATTTTTAAAAAAAAATGCGTTAGTTTCGTCCCTGGGTAATTGCGATATACGCAAGCCACGTGCATGCGCCATGTTTTTGTGTATTTTCAAAATGGCTGCGGTAAGTTGGTTGTAAAGAACGTTAATGGAGGATCGGTTGGTTTCTGTTTTTTTTTTTTTTTTTTTTTTTTCGAAGCGTACTTTTTTTTTTTCTGTTTCCCTCCGTACAATTACTTAAAATAAACATTCGATATAACGATTCGCGTGTAATTATTATTAATAAATTATTTAATTAAACGGATTGACAATTTTTTTTTTTTTTTTTTAGAAACATAACAAATACTTCAATAAAAAATAGTACTACTTCAATGGAATCGATGATGCAGTTTTTGATTTTTAAAATTGAATCGCTTCAGTTTTAATATTAAAATAAGGTACAATTAAATATTATAATTTACTTATAAAAGTTTTTATTAATCTCATTTTAATTTTTCATTTCGTTTTTATATATATATATTTATGTGTTGTGCATCATTATTTTGTTTGCCCTTGTAAAGTATTATTATTTTTCAAGGCCGTTTGATATTGTAAAAAAAAAAAAAAAAAAAAATTAGCTACTTGCGAATGATCGCAAAAATGTGTTCACAGGTAAAAAAAGAAAAAAAAAAAATATCAAAAATTTTATTCAATTTAATTATATTACGTTGAAATTTTTATTTATTTTTATTTAATTATATATATATAGTTTACTGTATTTTATTTTTCTCTTTCACAACACTATCGATTTACTAACCGATTAGCTTTTTTTTTTTCTATCTTTTTTTTTTCTTTTCTTCTTTTTTTTTTTTTTGGTTTTTGTTTTTTCCTACGCCAATGAAAAAGTGTATGTGATGTAATTTTATGATTAAAATTTTTTAATACCAAAAATTATGTTTAATTATTAATTATGTATTTTCACTTTTTTTTTTTTATTTTAAATTTTTTAATTGCATTCTTTACAACAAAAAAATTCCTTTAATTTTAATTTTTTTTGTTCATTTAATAATAAGAATCATTGTTTTTAATTTTTAGGTGGTTTTATCTGCAGTAAGTTAAAAATAAACAGTGTATAAAAATATTAGTAATTAAAAGTAAAATTTTAAATTTAAATTTAAATTAAAAAAAAAAAAAAAACATTTTAAATCTATACACAAAATATTTGATTCATATCAATCGTTATTCAATGTAAGCTGGAGTGAGTGGAAGTAACCTCAAAATTAAGTTGCATTTATATATAAATATATACATTTAAGTGTTCATAATGGCTGCAACTGAAGAAATAAATGATAATTTAGATCAGGAAACTTTTGGGGATAGGTCTTGTGAAAATTCTAGTCCTATTGGTGAAAAAGATAATCAGTGTAATTTATGCAGGTATTTTAAACATTTTCAAATTTTCTTATATTGTTTGATTAAAGTCATTTCTTATTTTAGAATAAATTACAACATTAAATAATCATTTTTATTATTTTTTTTTTTTAGCAATAAGTTATTTAGTCCTCGAGTATTGTCATGCCTTCATGTTTTTTGTGAAGCATGTTTGGATAAAATTTTAACGGATGATGCGAATGAATCTAAAAAGAAAGAAAATGTTATACAATGCCCTGAATGTAAACAAGAAACTATAGTAAGTTTTGATTTGAAGTTTTGATTAAAAAATAATAAGGTAACAGTAATGAATTATTAACTTTGTTTATTCATTTAAACTTTTAGCTTGGTAATAAGGGTGCTAGTAGTTTACCTATTGATTATGTCACATCAAATATTTTGGACATGGATGCAGTCAAAACGAAGACTGTATTATGTACCAGTTGTAAATCGACTGAGAAAGCAATATCAAGATGTGCAGATTGTGCTAATTTTTTGTGTTCCAATTGTAACTCTGCTCACGAAGTTATGAGATGTTTTGAAAATCATCATGTTTATACGCTTGAAGATTTAAGAAAAAGCTCAAAATTAATACCCATTCATAAACCTGTACTTTGTAACATTCATCCTACAGAGCAAGTCAAATTTTTTTGTCTACAGTGCCAGGTTTGTTGTTCTTTTGTTAATGCTTTTCAATTGAGATGTTAATGATATAAATTAATTTTACGATATGTTAAAACATAAATTTTATTACAGATATCAACATGCAGTGAATGTATTGGAGAACATAAAGTTGCAGATCATCCTCATGAGAGAGTGTTTGAAGCAGAAGGAAAACAACGGGAAGAATTAAAAAACCTTATACAAGAAAGTCGAACGCGCGTCCTTTTTTGCAACGATGCTTCAAATACTTTAGGCAATGCTTTAAACGAATTGCAGTTGCAGCATGACAATGCCAAGGATTTAATTCAGGAAACTTTTCAGGTAAGTACAGAGTTAGAGATTAATGACTTGAATATTTTTATATATGCAACATACTATACATATTCATTATGAATGAATTTATTTCAGAGTTATAAAGCCGTTTTGGAAAAGAGAAGAGATGAATTACTCAACGAATTGGAAGAGCTTCATCATTTAAGGGAATTAGAAGTCATGGAATTATTCCATTGCATCGAGAAAACAGGGAATCAAATGGAGGATGCTTGTAAATTTGCCAGAAGATTAATTGAACTTGGAAACGCAGCAGAAGTACTGACGTTAAAAAAAGTCGTTGGAACGCAGTTGATGAATTTAATTAATAATACACCCAAACCGGATGTAAATGTAGCTTTGGAATTCAACACGAATTTTGAAAAGTTTACAGAAGTTGTTAAAGTAATTATATTATTTTATTTTTAGAGTCATTTTTTAACTTAAATTAATTTAATTTTCATACTTGTTTTAATTTCTTTTTTTTTTTTTTTTTTTTTTATTTACAGATGTATTTTGGCAAATTCAAACCTTTGAGTCCTCCTATATCAAACACTGCAACTCCGAGTCCAAAGGAAGCTAATTCACCAACTACAATTTTGCCCTTTAGCTGCAATAATACAACAGCAACAACTAATAATATGACTAATCTCACTTCCAATACCGTAAGTCAATCAATTTTTTTTTTCTTTTTCTTTTTTTTTTTTTTTTTTTCAGTGCTTAAATTTTATGTATATTTACAACCGTGCCATTTTTAAATCGTGAGCAATGTAAATATATATATTTAAATAGTGTCATCTCGCATATAAAATTTGATTTAGCTTTTTTGATTTGACATATTAGCATTTATACAATTTGAGGCTGTAAAACTGTAGTTTTTTTGAGCATTTCCTGGGTTGTTGTAGATGTCTAGATT